ATAGCATCGTTAGCACAGATGTAGCTTCGTCTCGCTTGTTAGCTGAATAAAAAGACAAGTAAGAAATAAAGTGCTTGAATTTCACTTACCGAATAAACTGCATTCATGGACGGTCTGTTTGAACCGCAGAGCCATAAGATAAGTGCGATATTTCAATAAAGAATACTCCACCAGGCATCAACACAACAAACACGTCCGAGTAGCAGCCTGGAGCTAATGAAGCTAACGGGGCTAGCAAAGAGACCACTAGCAGATGACTTCCGTTACATTAGAATGACTTCCGTTACATTAGAATGACTTCCGTTACAGCAAGAATCCCCTCACACACACATAGGTGAAACACATGCACATTCCCTACTGAGAACCTTTCAGTAAAATGTTTTTCAGGAGTGTGTGTGTGTGAGGTTAATTTTCAGTAGTGTGTGTGTGAGGTGTTCAGTAATGAATGTGAGAGGATTTCAATAGTGTGTGTATGACGTTAATTTTCAGTAGCGTGTGTGTGAGGTGTTCAGTAGTGAATGTGAGAGTATTTCAGTAGTATGTGTGCAAGGCCAGATGTTTTCAGTAGTGTGTGTGTGAGGTGTTCAGTAGTGAATGTGAGAGGATTTCAGTAGTGTGTGTGCAAGGCCAGATGTTTTCAGTAGTGTGTGTGTGAGGTGTTCAGTAGTGAATGTGAGAGTATTTCAGTAGTGTGTGTGCAAGGCGAGATGTTTTCAGTAGTGTGTGTGCGAGGTGAGTTTGAATTTTGGCCTACACGGCCCTTCATAGTTCAGCGCTCTGCTTCCACTCCCTGCTCTGCAGCCGTGCCTGCAGTCCCGCCCCTCTAAAGCACGCTCAAGTGCCTCCCCGCTCTCGTGCACGCGCTAGCTGCCAGAGCATGTGAGAAAACGAGAAGCATGGCTGCAAGTGGGAGTGCAACTGCCGCTGCCCCTCGGCTTGTTGACAAAAAAGACGCCAGAAGCGAAATGTGGAAGTATTTTAGCTATATCTCTGACAGTGAGGGCAAGCCTACGGACACCACGAGGCCTGTCTGTAAGAAATGTATTAATTTTATTTAATACGAATTCTTGTCATTTATTGTATTTATTGTTCTCATTGTTTAAAGGTTGTGTTATGGTTCTGGTTCTGGTCTGAAATAAAGCACAATAATTACATTTAAGACTGTTTCCCTTTTTTAAGAAAAGTATCGAAAAATAATCGGAATCGCAATTCTTGACTTGGTATCGAAACCAAAATGTTGGTATCGTGACAACACGACAGTTAAACCTGATATTTAGTAGGTCTGTTAAGTATTGAATGCTGATAATTCTGACGTAATTTGGCCGGTCAAAGTTGTTTGGGCTCGGATAAAATTGCTCCGTTACTTTCGTCCCGGCTCTCCCTACGTGTGTATGTGTGGTGTCAGGTGTCAGTATGAGAGGATGACAGCGCGTCTAATTTTGATGTGGCCCAAGAGCCAATCACAATAATACCTGCGATGCAGTGAACCAATCACTTTTTGAGGGGGGGAAACCTATCGTTGATTAAACACTACTATCCAGTGTTTCCCCTACCATTGTCTTTGAAGGGCACTGCACCCCGCCAACGGAGCCCCGCGCCCCCCCCTGAAATTCAAGGTGTTTAAAAAATATATATAATTTTTTTTTAAATATATATATATCGCACCAAATTGAAAATAATCTATAACTACTATCACTTTTCACATTGAACATGTGCTCTTTTATTAAATAAACTAAACGCTTTCATTTTAAGTTGTGAGTTTAGTGTTTTTGACCCTAAGAAACACTGATGCATTAATCAATAACAATAATCCACAGCTCCTCTCTCTGCTCCAGAGGATTTTAAAAATATATATCCCAATGCCACAAAAATGCATCAGTGACGTGGTTGAAATCTTGTCTCCAGAAAACAAAAAACTGAAACAAGCGGTATCAGTGACTGTGTGTTTGATGTGGCTCTTTGCAGTAACATAGAAAAAATGTGGCTCTTAACCTCTGACTGGTTGGCCACCCCTGCCCTATACGATCATTTTCTGATAATGATGAGGCAATAGCCCCGCCTCTCCCCACCTCTGCTGCTCACCCCCGCGTCAAAGTAAACTGCACACTGAATTCAGATTATTTATCTTTCTCTCGATATGGACCTAAACGCGAGTGAAGTCTAATCTGACAAAACGGAGACACCTCTCAAACTACCTAGTTATAAATATGTTTATTTTTACTGTCGGCCGGGTCACTCATTACTGGATCAGCTGCTGCATGAAACAGACACTGGCGCTGTCCGAAGAGAGGGAGGAAAAAGAGAGGCTCCGTGTATTTTATTATTATATTATATAGAGTCGTTATTCATTTGTTTTAAAGCTCAATAAATAACAAAGAAGACCTTTGACCGGCACTTTTATAATTTAAGATTTAAACTTTAATACACGTTGACTGGCGAGAAACTCTGTCCGGTTCCCTCGGCCCCCACCGCGGAGAATAAACAGAAGGGCAACCATGACAACCATGCTTCTTCGCTGCTTTTGTGGAGGAAGTTACAGCGCCACGTACAGGCTCCTGCATGTACTGCAGCTTCTCCAGCGGTTGGAGCTAAACAGAGCTGTCTCGTGTGGACAGACACTATCCGGATGACTATTGCGTGTGGACGGAAGCTTTTTTGCGATTGCGTTTGCGTTAATCCTATGCGTTTAGCCGTTTTCGTCCTCGTGAGGCCGGGGCATTAATGTACGTTCTGCTCCGTTGTGCATTCACTTCTGGTAAAAGTTCCTTCAAAATAAGAGTCCCGATCTTATTAAAAGATCGGGACTTACTAAAATCTTACCAAAAGAAACATGCTAAACGAAACTTTACCATAGAAAATATTGGCATACAAATATAATCACTTCTATAAAAAGGTAACACATTTTAAATATAGTTAGACATATTAAAGTTAGGTAATTTACAGCATTAATTAATATATAATTCTTAACTGTGAATGGTTTTCATTTATTTAACATTAGACATAGTCTGGCCAATGACAGAACCACAATCAAGACTTCAATGCTGAAGGGCCAATGGATCTATGGTGGGGGTCAGCACAAAGGTCAAGAAACCCAAATTTGAAATGGAGACAACGGATGACCAAGAAACTAGTGACTTGCTCAATTCATTTGTGAGGGATCTGTGAAGAACATGACAACAGCTGCACTACTGGTATTTTGTATACCAGCAATTGAGGGTGGCAAGTTTATTACCACTTTAGTTTCAAATAATTGTGTTAATTACTTATTGTAAAGCATTTGAACATTATTTTGTCACATGTTCATTATTAAGTTGATGTATAATTGTATAGTATCTTAATTATTTAAAATATAAGGTGACTAAAAATGGCAACCGTATTTTCAGTTTTGGAAACCAAAAGCTGATGCCTGGTTGCCAGCCTGGCAACCACTTTTAAAAGTTAGCGTTGAGCCCTGGTGTGTGTGTGGTGTGTTGTGTGTGTTAATGAATATGTTAACTAATGTGTGTGCAATTTTGAAATCAGCTGTAAGTGCTTGTGACCAAAATGCATTGTTGCGGATTCCGTTTCCACATACTAGTATTTTCATTTTGTCCGTATCCTACTTCACCAGATTTCAGAGGGAAATATAAATATTACCTTTTAATATATATTTAAAAAAAAAGGCTTTTTTGTTTCTGAACTCTTAAACAAAATGATTGTCTAAATTCTGCCCCTTCTCATATTTGAGTTATAATTGCAGGTGTATGATGAGTTGTTAACAGCTCCGCTAACGATACATTTTCACTCCAATCCTCTGACATGATCCAATTCAGTTTCATTTTGAAATCAAAACTAATTGTTTGTACTTTTACCTGCAGCATTAATCAATCAATCAATGGAATGTGTATCCAATATATGATGATGATGCGTCAGTATTAACCTATTAATGCCCTGTATTATAATTTCAGTCACAGTCAAACATTTATCCCGGTACCTAACCTTTTGAATCAAGTACATGTTGCCAATATTATTTGTAAAGTTACATTTTAGATGCAGGACTTTTACTTTAAATGGAGTATTTTCAGATTGTGTCACTGGTACTTTCACACAAGTCGTGCTTTTTCTTCCACCCCTGGTTTGTGTATGTGTTTGTCAATGAGATGTTCTTCAGGCCTGTTGATGATACGCGCTGTGTCTGGGAGAGCTCTTTGCCTCTCCTCCTCTCCTCCCCTACATCCTCCTTCGCCTATATTAGCTCCATAAATCCTGTTCTAGGCGGATTGTTATGGTCATTGTGTGTGCTGTGAGCGATGGTTATTTTCTGCCCGCTCCGCTCACACTGCTTTATGCGTCTTGTCTGCTCTCTCCCTCCCGTCCCCCTTCTCTCTCTCTTATTCACACTATATCTCGCTCGCTCTTACTGCCTCTCCTCTACACTGTTATTCAGCATCCTTAACCTCTCTCTCTCTCCCTTACTTTCTCTTATTACTCTACAGTGCTTCTTTTTTCTTGCTTTTTACCTTCTGTCTTGTTATCTCTATTTCTCTCTCCAGACTCCACTGATACATACACACTGTAATCTGTAAAGCTGCTTAGAAACCTGCACTTGGCAAGTTATTGATGTAGAAATATACCCATCAATCAGTTTACATTACAAACCTACGATACCACAACACGTTTATCATCACCCAAGTTTGTGACACCACAGATGTGTCCTTTTTGCCTTAATGAAGTATATCCTTTCCACACACAAGAAGTTTGGATAAAAACTTGAGAGTAAAAACTGTTAAAACATCTAAACTTAAACATATATGAGGCAATAAGTAAACCTGCTGCAAAGAAATAAAATGTTTCAAATTCGCCTTTTATAAACAAGTTTGCCAGAAATTCTAACAGTTATGAATAACCCATGCCACTTAATTTTGTACAAAACAAAACAATATATTTTTCTTGTATCATTTTGTATGTTTTAAAAATTGAAATGTTTACCTGAAAATTATTTTTCTTCTCAATTCCCATAGGGCCCAGAGCATTGCGTGAAATGCATCCATTTCAAAGATGGTCCTAATTGTGTGGAAAAGTGTCCTGATGGCCTGCAAGGTGCCAACAGCTTCATCTTCAAGTACGCAGAAGACAACAATGAATGCCATCCCTGCCATTCCAACTGCACCCAAGGGTGAGTACAGTCAGGATGAGGACTGGTCAGAGGTGTTGCGTTCAATGCTCATTACTCCTGTAGGACATTTCAGTCATTCCTTCATAAACCAGAAGTCAGTTCTTTCAAACTATTAAAGATAAATGAAACCAAGCGGTAATCATATACAAGATAAAATAAAAATACAGGGAACATTTTCACCAATAGTCAATTTAGATGTCGTGGAGGGATGATGACCAATTATTAGGAAATGAATTGGGTGATAATAGTTATATAGATTGTTTGTAATAAACGTTTTTGATTCAGTAACTTCAGTATTACGATAATGGTGGTACCTACTCTGCAGTTACAGAGCGTGTATGCAAGCGTAAGATGAACGAGAGCAATAATCCCTTTGTTTTGCAAAAAAGTACTTTTACGTAAACCAAAACAAATACAGGTAAACCACTATTAACAAGGGTCATGATATTACAAATAACCCAAACTATAACCCCAATCGCTCCAGCTTTTTATTTCAGAAGATAATCAAATGTATAAAGAACAGAAAGGGAACAATAGAGAGGCAAAGCAGAAGATGTAAGAGAAGAGGGGAAGAATAAAAGCCAGAGGAGTCAGTAAAGTACCTTGCCCATCTCCATCGCTCACTAGACACTGATCGCTGAATGCAATATTGAACAACGGTTGGAGAGACATTGTTTTGTATTTATCTCCACAGGGAGTTTATGTCACTTCCTTGTGTGGTATTTCTCCTCTCCTGAGTGACAGCCTCCAGCTCACTCGAGCATAGCAATGTAGTCGTAAATGGAAAACACCGGGCTAACACTTTGTCACAGGTATAGCTTCATAAGAAGATCCGCCTCTCCAAAAAACAAGCTAGAAGGGAGAGAGATAGACAAAAATGGAAAGAGACGTACAGGGACAAGGCCACTATCCCCCATTTATAAACATTCAAGGAGCAGCGATATTTTTAAACTAGTATTAAGACTGTCAGACGCTACCAGTGCACAATATACATGAGAGATTTGAGACATCAACACAGGAGGACGTGTGACATTTCCAGCAGAGATCTTTGCTTTCTGTCAGAAGACAATGTAGCTTTGTAATCTGTCACCCATGTAGACACACTGAAACTGATCCTTTAGGATAAAGTTGTGGCTCTACTTACACAACTTACGTATGCTTACACACACACACACACACACACACACACACACACACACACACACACACACACACACACACACACACACACACACACACACACACACACACACACTGACCCAATATGTTTTGACAGACAGCAATACAAGGTACAATGGACAGATATGAGAAATCAATGGATTCTGGCTTATGTTCGCTGGTAGAATACAGCACTCCAAAGTCCATACTTGAATCATCTTGCTTACTGAAAATCAATACATTGACAGACAGGAAGTACAGCACTTCCTTTCAGCTAGAATACACTCAGATTCACCTTTGAGCATATACCTTTACTCAACACTAAAACATGAATGCATACTATTTTCATTATGGAGTATGGGCAAGTTATTGTAAACATATTTATGCAGGCTTTACCACAGGAACATCCTGCAGCAGACAGAGACATACTGTATAGAATGCTTAGTGTCATTACTGACGAAGGGAATGCATATCTAATCATGTTTATTCATATTTTGTATAGACTTCAAAAAGGTTAATTACATTGATATATATTCTTCTCTCTTACAATTTGTAATTATTTAAGTTTGCTACTTTTTTAGTAATTTATGTGATTGTAAATCATATTATGTTTTAATTCATCCCTATATGCGTAAGCGAAAGGTGCAAAAGGTGTGTGCTGTAATAGAGAAGGCATGCATAACAAAATGTAACCCCAGAGTAAAGAACTTCCCATTATATACATTTGTATTATCATTAATCGCAGTAGATACAGGCTTCTGGAAGAAAATATGAAGTTTTTCTTGAATTTATAATTGACTATTTACTTAATTGCTTTGCTGAACTCCCCACACAGTTTCATAATCCTCAGATATCTGACTAACTAACTTATTACTTTTTGTAACTTGTCCTGTGTTTGTTTACTTAGGTGCATTGGACCACGACTGCAAGACTGCATTGGCTGGATGGACAGGTACACAATTATTTTCGGTGTATTTCCTTTCATACACAGTAAACAGCTTTTGACGCACATACATGAACAAACACACACACACACGCCTGCATACACAGAGGCATTAAGGACGCTCACAAGGATTTTTGGCCTTAGAGCTATAGCCATTAATCAGAGACTTTGCTTACTGTGTGGCTATAGCTCTAAGGCCAAAAATCCCTGTGAGCGTCCTTAATGCCTCTCTGTGTATGCAGGCGTGTGTGTGTGTTTATGTGTGCGCACAAACAATTTGCCTGGTTCTTGATAAATTGATAGCGCTTTAGCTTTTGTTCTGAGGCGATTGCAGAGAGTGTGGAAACAAAATGCCTCTAACAGTTGACATCAAATGGATTCAAGATTTCATAAGAGAAACAGCTTGGCATCAAGTGGCGCAGAGAATTGTGGGTTGGTGTTCTGGGGGGGGGATTTTGTTTTTTGTTTTCTAAGAAAAAAACAAGGCAGAGTGAGCAGTAAACACAACATAACTTACCGATGGATCTGGAGATCTGAAACACAAAACTGCTGTCTCATAAGAACAGAGCCACGCATATCAGAACATGACAGTGCGATGGTAAAATGTAGTGTTCGACTTTGAACTTCATCAGAATGGAAAATAAATTGAATTTATACTATCTAGCAGCAGAGCACGAGTCTTCCTTAGGAAAAACCTAGAACTAGATACACAGACAGACGAACAAATAACAATTTAGTGAGTATTAACTGATGAATATTCAATCCTGAACCCACTGAGATCAACATGTAATGAAGGAGTTTCCTACCATATCAGAGGAAAAAAACACGCCTTCTAAAAATCTGCTCAGTCTTACCTTTACCTCCTGAAACAGTCTTTGGGACACTGTCAGCAGGAAGAAGGGGGATTGCAGCAGATGGGGGAAATGTAGCCATCAGCTGACCTGGTGAACAGATCAGCTCTTATCTGATCTCCGATAGCTGTGTCTAGGATACAGCAGTAGACGCCCAGCTAACCCCAGGCTTAGCTGCCTGCTCTGAGGTGTCACACATCTTGTAAATCTCTCACCGGTAGAAGGTATTGGCTTTTGAGTACAGCTGAAAGTGGCTTATCAGAAATACATGATTACGCTAAGCCTTCAAAGGCCATCGTTTCACCTGGCATTAACATACATCTTGTGTGATTGTGAGCGTATCCGATTAAGCTGTATTAATCACTTCCTGTCACTTACTCGTGTAATATTTAGTCTGATAAAACTGAAAAGTAATCCCCCGTCGGACACGTTGCCATTTGGTAGTATCTTTCCCGTTTAATTATAAGAAAAGTCAGAGCTTCCTGTTGTCTGATATTTCTGTGTTCACTCATTGGCTCCCTATGCATGTGTTTTAAGAAATTAATGGTTGTAATGGTAGAGAAACATTGCATTTAATGTGGTCAAATGCATCGCTGACCATGTGGAAATGTGGCGTGCTGGGCAACCTTTAGAACTCCATGTCTTGAGTACGTTGATGTATAGCTGGGTCTCACATGATCACTCAGGAGAGCATTTAGGCCAGTCAGTTGGAAGAATCGTGTACGTGAAGCGTGCGGATTGCATTAGACCTCTACAGTGGTTCTCAATGCTAAATTGACATTTGATCATGTGCCAAATCATACAATAGGTGACCATCTAATGTTGAATTACATTTTCAGTTGTTATTGAAGAGAGTTGGATACGGTTAGATACAACCAGAGGACAGTTAGCATCGCGTAGCCAGAGAACAACAGGTGAAAGTAACACTTTGTATCTTGTTTGTTTTATCCGTTCAAAGAAATTACAAAATGTTTCCGAATAGCGTTACAAATATATTTATATTAAAAAAACAATTTCACAGGAGTTATATGATGCACTATTGACAAACTGTTGCGATTCTCTTGTTTTCACTTTGGATGATATTGATCCCCTCATTTTACAAGAGAGCAGAGAAACTATCCCAACAAATAATTGTGACCAGGATATTTAATCATTTGGACATTTAACAGTTGAAAAATGAATGCTCTCCTCTCCGGTGGACAATATATGTACAAGTGACTAGTTGACTAAATTACTTCAAACCAAACAAAGAGTTTCATACAGCCTTTACTTGATAGCTATCCATACAGACATACAATAACCTCTATAAGCTGATTGACTTTCACCCTGTGCGTGCCAAAGAGAGGGATGAAGGGGAGATACCCATGAACCTGTCTGACTGTGATTACATTAATCCTTGCGGTCTGTGATATACAGTCCCAAATAATAGCCTTTTTCCACTGATTTAGGAGAATCTCATTATGTGTTTACCAAATTAAAGAATAAAGGTGGCAGCGGTGTCAGATAAGCTATACTCCCTCATGTATGCAGCAACTCTGTAGACAATTTGCAGGGCATATCAAGAATATTTTTAAGAGGCTTGATTTCAAATGACAGCGTCAGTATGCTGCTGAGAATTCGCTTTGATGGTTACTTCCATGTTTTTGATCTCAGCCATGATTTTAATGAGAGTGCATCGAGGGATATTTGTAACCAGATGAAGCTTAGTAGAAAACAAACTGCAGGTGATGAACTTTTTGAGGATTGCCCACATAAGCATATGCTTAAAGACAAGTTCTAATGTGTTTGTTTATTTGCTTACCTATTTATTCTCAGTGTGCAAATGGCAGCATAAAAACGATGCCGACTTTTATCTTTTTGTCTTTTCTACTCCCACTCAACTGCTCCTTTTTTATCTTCAGAACCCCTCTGATCGCAGCAGGGGTGATTGGCGGCCTCTTCTTGGTGGTGATCATGGGGCTGAGCGTAGCCGTGTCTGTTCGACGGAAGAACATTAAGAAGAAGAGAGCGCTTCGTCGCTTCCTGGAGACAGAGGTGAGCACAAACTGCTGGCAGATCATCTTGTCAGAAGAATGGAAGTCACTGTGAATGATTAGACATTAGTGACAGTTGAATGTCACTTTCCCTGTCCTAAACCTTTAATATTGTTGGGTTGTTTTCAATTGGGAAAATTACTTTACATAAATTAGGCTTTACACCATTTCACTCATCACCAGCTTGAGCTTCAATATCAGGATACATGTATTTATTATCCTTGCAAGAATGGAAGTAGTCATCACATACAGAGCATATGGGACAATGAGTTCCTGAACAGTGTCCTTCAGATGCTTTATATACAAGAGAGGGTGTCACAGCATTTTTGTTTTTAGGATGGCTTTCAACATCTGTCAAGGGACTACAGACGAAAAATAGCCTGTTGGCTAACTCTGGCGCATTTACAGAAATGTCAATCAATGTGCACTGTCCCTGTCAAATAAATATATAAATAAAATAAAAAAGTAGTATTCAATGTTTAGTTTCGATTAGCTAAGACCCACGTCAGAAATGGTCATGCTTGTCATATGTCCATCTCCATAGAGGCTGAATCATCATGTTCATCGTTGTCACATAGCTATCATAAACCTAAAACAGTGTGTCCTGACGCTCTTCTAGGTGATCATACATCCTGTTACGTACACAGCTACAGTTTGGCCTTTGTTATCATGGGCTACTCTGATATTGGAAGAGTACATTCAGTATTTTCCCAACACAGTTGTAAGTCACTTTCCCTGTCCTAAACCTTTAATATTGTTGGGTTGTTTTCAATTGGGAAAATTACTTTATATAAATTGGGCTTTACCATTAAAAACATGTGGAGAAATAGGAGGGGGAAGATTAAAACGAAAATTAATGAAAAGGGACCAAAGAAAAAGTATATGTTTTTTCTTTGACAGATTATTCATAAAATTGACAATCTTGAAGACGAGTATTTCATTAATTTAAGAGGAAAACAACATCAAAACATAGGAAATGCCTGAGGGTGTTTTTTTCTGAGTTAGTAGGATTACATTGTTGGATATGAGTGTGTGTCTATGTGTGTATTGTGGCAGTGTGAGTTTGTGTGCATCCCACACACTGGGCACATTTTGTACAAAATAAGAGAAAGCCACTCTGAAAGAAAGAGTATGAGACTCCACGTCTCCAGATGGTGACTGCGGAGGTGGAGAAAGCGAAAGAAATTCAGAGGCTCAGGTGTTGACTTTGCCATAGTATACTGGAGAGGACACTTCTGTAAGAAGAGGTAAGGGACCATGCCATTAGAAGAGAAAGCCACTTTCCTTTGTGTTGGAACAAGAAGAGCACATCATCTACTATAATGCGCTAATGTGTCCATATATTCACCGCGTTCCCTCTCTTCACAGCACACAAGTGTCAGTGGAGTGTCTTTGCAAACAGCTTCTTTAATGACAAAATAGCCCTGATATGGCTTGTGATCATACTTACACTTCTATTGCATAATTAGTGAAGACCATTATGAAAACAGCACGAGGAAGAAGCATGCTGTCATTCCTAATGAAAAAGCAGAATGTGCTGCAAACAGTGTTAAGTGTTATCTGTCGAAAGTGGTGCCTTTTTTTAACAGGAAGTATTTAAAAAAAATGTATGGAAATAGCATTCAGAGGAGCTAGGCAGAAATGTACCACCCTGTATGACGGCAGTGGTGACTCACTTAATATTGTGTTGCTTAACGACATGTGCTAAAGTCTATTCTGCTGTGTATGTAAAGGATTTTACTTGTATAACAGCTTTTTAAACAAATCTACTTATAGTGCTGCACAATATATATTGTTTCATTATCGATATCACAATGGTGTGATTTGTGCAATAGTCAAAACACCTCATGCTACACAGTTGTTGCTGCTTGATATTAAAATGTTCCATTAATGCTCTTGAAGAGAAGTGTGACTGCTATGACATTATTTACAGAGAATGAAGGATAGACTGAATGCGTTGCTAGTTAGTGATATAAGGCACGCACTGCCAACTACTAATCACAATCATTTTCGTTCCAATCATGAAAAGGAGGATTTGGTTGCAAAATAAACATAAAGTCAGTTCCATGAAAATATTCCAGCTCCAGAAAGGATGAATTAGGCCATCAATTCCTGTAATGGCTCATATCGCCAACAATATATATTGAAAAATAAAAATCCGGTTAGTATTATTCAATTTCATGCAACCCTTGAGTCGAAAAGTTTATGTTTTCAATTAATTATGATTAACAGTGTATTAATGTTCTCATTATTCTGCAAATTGTTAAACAGTCTGACTCCATAGTTGGTTTCAGCACCTCAGTGTAGAGTGAGACAGTGGACAGCTATGCTAGCTGCTACGTAGCCTCAACATCTCCAGCTCCACTAATGCTGGACAGCTCCCTGCACAGTGCAAGAGCATACAGTCGGGTGTGAGTGAGTGTGCGAATGTGTGGCCCCCGCCTCGCTTGTTTCCACCCTGCAGAACCTGATTTGTTATTCCATTTAAATGAAGAATGGCTATTGTTTTTAATCAAATGGTAACCATGAGCCAGAGGGACAGAGGCTGCCGGCCACAGCCGGGCTGATTTACACCCCGCTTTGTTTTCCTCTCTCTGCCCTCCCTCCCTTTCTAATCTCACATTCTTTGCCTAATTCTCCTTATATTGCTCCCTCTCTCACGCTTTTGCATCCTCTGACTAATTCATCCGCTCGCTTCTCCATCGCTGTCTTGTTGTTGTTTTTTCTGCCACATCTTCTTCTCTCCATTCCCTCATATCTATAAGAATGCAGGGTGTCGTTTTTTCTCATACTGATATTCTGAACAATCTGTGCTGTTGTATTTGCTGTAAAGTGTCTCTACTGTAGGCTATTTTTATTATATGTACAGCACTTTGGCTCGACCAAAAATCGTTTATAAATGTGCTATATAAATAAAACTTGATTTGATTTGATATCATCTTCCCCCCTCTCTGGCTGTTAAATAGCCAGAGAGTTCGTCCCTCCACTTGAGGAGTAATGAGACAACAAAAGTGTCAATCCCTTTTCAGACTTCGCAATTATCTACCCCCCCCATATTAAATCTCTCACTTGTGATATTGAAATGGTAATGGCACTCCTGGGATTGGATCTGTTTTGTCGAAAAAGTGAATGTAACCTTAATGTGCTGAAAAATAACTTACTAAGATTATGTATGCATGATAAGATCAACAGGTTTCAATGGATGCATAATGTATTGCGTTCAAATTTCACCATTTCAATAAATGATTCTTATTTGAAGAATACATCAATTGGGAGTAAGTCCATTGTAATTCATGATGAAAGCTTCACAGCAGGACTTCCTTAAAATTAGTTTTTTGGAAACAACCTTTTTCCCTTGAACAGTATTGAATAATAGGAATAGGAATTTGAAAGTGTGCTTCTTAATGCAATTTTACTGGAAAATGGTTATTTAATTTACCCGACATGTATTCAAGTAAACATTTGAGCATGGACGTGTTTCGTGATTTATCCTAAAGGTCAATTATATGTAATTGCTTGTCTTTACAAGAGCGGCTGTCTGAAAAACAAAATGATCTCATTGTTTGGAGCTTGTGTCATATGCTGTGGGTTACAGTAGGCAATGATTCAATTGCTTTTGTGATATTTGATGTGTTTTTAGCTGGTGGAGCCTCTAACACCCAGTGGAACAGCGCCAAACCAAGCTCAGCTTCGCATCCTGAAAGAGACCGAACTCAAAAGGGTCAAGATCCTCGGCTCTGGGGCCTTTGGGACTGTTTACAAGGTAAATCACACAAAGAATAAAGTCAAAATAACTCTTTGCATGTGTTTCTGTTGGTAATTGGTGGGAACAAATATGAAAAAAAACTCAAGTTGCGATCATAATGTGATATAATGAAAAAAGAAGGAGACAAGAGAGATGAATTGCAGGATCATTAATGACAGGAAATGAGCTGGAAGGCTGGAGGCGGGTGATGAAAATAATAAGTAATAGCAGATACTGAGACCCCCGAGGTTACAGTGAAATAAGAAGTATCTGAGGTCACAACCAGTGTGATAATGGGATGTGGAGAGGTAGAGAAAGGCACAGCTGAAATGAGAAAGAACAGACTATCTTGCTGAAATCATCATTGGTCATTTTGTACATCCGTTCACATTATAACACGTCTGGGTCAGAGGTAAGTTACCGGGAGCGCAAAAGTCCTTTTTCAAAGCAACATCTCACACATTTCCCACACACACATGTTCCTCCTAGGCATGTATGAATATATTTTCCATTCAGAGTTGAATGTTTAGCACTACAACCCAGAAATGGTATCTTGGTGATACATCAGAGAAAATTGTGAAAAAAAGTGTCCGACTCTTAACTGATTACAAGTGAAAGGCCTGCATTGAAAACGTTACTTGAGTAATAGTACAGAAGTATTATGAGCATAATGTACTTAAAGTATCAAAAATAAAAGTACTCAAAGGGCAGAATGTCTCTTTTCACAGTTTTCTATTATTATAGAAAAAACACTATTTGTTTGTTTTGAATCACTAACAAATACATTTCAAAGCATTTCAAACCATATGTTGAGCCAATTATGAGTACATACTGGGTTCATTCAAATCATATAATAGAGGAAATCATGTGTTTAGATAGTAACTATGAACGTTAAATAAATGTAGTTAGGTGAAAAGTACCCTCTGAAATAGTAGAGTATAATATAACATAGACTCATGTCAAGTACAAGTATGTCAAATTATTACTCAGGTACAATACTTGACTTAATGTACATTCCAGCACTGAGCTCCTAACTCTCGTCCTCTGCTTCCTCTCGGGCCTGAGGAGCAGTTTTCTGCTGCTGAGATGCTTCCTGGCAGCAGGATCTCATTACATCAGCAGCTTGATTGCACCATCTTATTATTTCAAGCACAACTCTGAGACCATGGCTAATGTTGAGGGTCAGCTTTCTGATTGACTTCCAAATGGAGTGTTTTTTTATTGCGGCTCACTTCTCATTACACCAGCTGTTAAGTGTTGAGCTACTAAAGGTACCCTGTAGGGTTTCTGACGGTAGTGGTGCCATGGCAACATGCAGGTGTAGTGCAGGCAACTCTGAAAACACAAAGAAGAAAATGAACAGATGTTGCATTTCCTTCGAAGATTGACTGGCCATTCGAAGATTGACTGGCCATTTAATGAAAGCAGAGCAAAAATAATGTCCATTGGGTTCACACTATATCACAGGTTGAGGTAGTATCCTTATTGTAAAATTGTAGTCTGAGAACCGCTCAGGTTTAAAAACATGTCTTTATAAATCTGCTTTTCAAATGGGAGGCATGAATATTTTATTAGGAATAAGATGCGTTTGGGAATGCACAAAATTGATTGAAGTGAAAAGCAATGACTTTTCCACCTGAGGCATCTTCTTAATCCTCACCCGGCTCAGTTTACCAATTGACCTGGACGTGGTGGATGATGATGTGCTTAGCTCCATGACAATCAGGTTTATAATGGACAGTGAAGATGTTAATGAGGTAAAGACTTGCATTCACATGTATTTAACAGGCAAGAACACAAGGGAAACATTTAAAGATTTACCGCAGTCTCCTTCGGGGGCCATAAGCAGCACCATTTCACTGTTTGCAGTTTTAACTGTATTTTTTAGAGCTCATTTAGTGTGAGGTTGAAAACACAAGAACAGAGTCAGTGGTAATCACAATACTGTCGAAATTGGACACAGAAATATTGCAATACATTCCAGTGAATAATAATCATCTTCACAAGTGCAGGTAGAAAGATTCTGTTTCAAAAGCAGCTATCATCATTGAAATGACAGCCCTGGGAGGACAGGTGTGTTAACTGTGAGCAGAGGTGGCTGCTCTCACTGGGGAGGTGTCAGGTCAGAACAAAGGTGGGACACATTTGAGGGACACTTGATTTCCCTCCTCTTTTAAATGCTTTGACCACTTTGACAGCTGCTAAATCACTTTAATCCCACCTGAAATTAGATACTTCAAAATGATTAAATAGTTTTGCCGAAGTCTTTTTTTGAAGGGTAAAATCACAGTTAATCATACAGCATGCTCTGCCACTGAGCATATAGAAGATGGTTATTAAGAAATAGCAATTAGAATTCAAGGTGAAAACTTCATTAATTGAGATTCCTCCCGTTTAAATCTTAATAGCATTCATTGAATACAATGTTGGTAAGTTAGAGTTGTTTGACTTTGCATTCAGTATAACCATTCATCATGTGTCTGTGTGTTTCTTTAGGGTATTTGGGTCCCAGAGGGTGAAACGGTGAAGATTCCTGTAGCCATTAAAATCTTAAGTGAGGCCACAGGACCCAAGGCTAACGTGGAGTTCATGGACGTGAGTATCCTGAAAATCTAGAGATAAAACAGACATAAAAAACACAATTTTCTCAATGTATTTGTTTTTCTATTGATTGTTTTCAAAGGTGTGGCCTGTTTGGCCAATAGTGACACATGTTGGAATAACACCATCTTAAAAGCTATCACCAGATAATTAAAACTAATTCTCAGTCATTTTAAAAGACAGCAAAACTTAACAAAATATCTGTTAGTGAAATAATGAGGAACTAAGTTTAGACCCCATAGACACCAGAATAGAAACCATCAGGGGCCCCAAGGACCACAGCACACACACAAGCACACACACACACACACACACACACACACACACACACACACACACACACACACACACACACACACACACACACAGTGCACAAGGCCCCATTCATGAAACATTCACAGCACGGCTCATTTCAAAAGGAAAAGGGGAAGAAAAAAATTCTAAATTATCACCCAATGATGATGCAATGCAGATGAAATAACCTCCATCAACATGCGTGCACATTGGCACACGCACATGGAAAGCGACCCAATTGCACTCATGTTTTAAACTTAGTTTGACATTCTAGTAGGGAGAGTTTTGAAATGTTAGCACATCTATTTGTATCAGAAGATCTTTGATGAATATCCCGTGTGTGTTTAAACTAATGCTCTATGTGCTTCGAGGGCTTGTCTGACAATCAAAGAACCAGATATCTACAATAAAAAAACACATAGGGGCACACAAAATGGATGATTGGGGCTTTATGATTTAGAGGAATAGAGATATAAAAGTCTAAATGGTTCATATGCATGTACTCGCAAGAAAAACATGCATTTGAATCCTATATATTCTCTGGTGTGTGTGTGTGTGTGTGTGTCTGTGTGTTCAATGAAAAAAAAGACAGCTTCTCACCACCAACCCCCCATTCAAACCTCACTGTGATTGTGTGACAGAATTTGCATGCATAGCTCAGAAGGCTAATTTACATTACATGGTAGACCTCACAGTTCTGTAAAGAACAATTAGTCAAATTCACCCAAATTATTATTTTTCTGTGTTTGTTAATTCAATAACAGAAGCAGGGATAATGTTAACAATTCAGATTGCGTTACTGCTGGCAAAAATCTATGTAACTGACTACACAACAAACAGCAGTGGATATATTGTGATTGGGTTAGCAAGAAAGCAATATTAACCTTAAATACAATTAATAATAAAAGTGGCAGTAAGTCACACATACATACTGAGCAAATATGATGATATTTGGTCTATTCCTTTTGCGTTTCTCCATGTATTTCCAGTGCTTCCTGACTTTACATTCATGTAGTTGCACAGTCTTCCTTTATTGACTGCTGAGCAGCTGGAGGCTCCGCTCCTGCTCCAGGGGACATTAGTGGTAGTTACTGAGGGAAAGGAGAGTTCAATTCATTTACTTCAACCATCCGTATGTGCCCAGTCGGACTGGGAATTCTGACTGTTGACCTTCTAGCTTCAGGCTACACTCAGTTGCCACTGACTGTTTGAAGAATGTCACCGAGTATTGATTGTCCTTTAGTGTGCGTTTGTGGGTGTGCTTCTGTGTAGAGTTTCCCTCTCCTTACCTGTGGAGCATTTAACAGAGGAGAGATTCTCCTTGTCAACAGCACATTATCCAAAATGTTTGCACCAGCAACAAAATGCCAACACTGGCTCCCTGCTGCTAGCGCCTTACAGGTTGTCAGGGTGTCAGTACCCAGCAGGTTTGCATTTACATGTGTGCGTGTGTGTTTGTGTGTGTGTTTTAATCATAAAGACGCTACAGGCAGACAGGTCATGCTTCAGTATGTCTTTTTTTTCTCTTTTTGAAAGACAAATTCCTGCTCAGGGCTTGTTTTCTATGAAGCAGTAGAAACCCTTGTGGTCTGTCCTTGGAAATTGAATTCACTGATACAGTTTCACCGTGTGTATGAAGATTATCTTCTGTTCTTTTCAATAATGTTTTGCTCAATATTTGTTCAATATGAGCAACAAACAGACCGGAGAACTTGAGTAAAATAAAAACATGCAGTATTTTTTCTAAACTATAATAATACACCATGTTTTTATAGCACTTTTCAAAAGTTACACAGTGCTTTTGAAAAAATTGTACATCAATATCAGAAGTGTCCTTTTTAAAATAGATGAATGTGTTTTGAGATTTTTACAAATTGATCCTGTCTTTTGCCTCCTTCAAAACGTATCAAAACAAACAATATTCAATGTTAAGTGAACAAGGGTTCACCTCTTTTTCATCCGTTCTATGCCATCAATCAAGAAAAGACTGCAGAGACATACCGGCTATTTGATACATCTATAATCCATTGGCATACATCGATTCGTTGTGTAATTCAAGCCATATTTCAAAGTTTATTTCATTGAATAGAATTGGATTAGGCCTTGAATGTCCTAAAAACACACTAAATGTCCCACAAATTAGTGTGTTTTGTTACGATATTATTGTTAAAATCTGATAAAATCAATCAGTTATAATTACAGCAGTCCGTTTTGAAGTCAACAAGTTAATAGAATGTTTTCTCGAATAGCTGTTTCTGTAATTCTGAGTGTGTGAAATGTCCATTATGTGTTATTGTAATTAATTGAAAATATACGGTACAAAATAAGAATAAGATAAGATGGACCTATATTGATCCCCGTAGGGAAATGCAGGTGTTAAAGCAGCAACAGAGTAAGAGTCAAATACAGGACAGTACAGATAAGAGTTCACAAAATAATGATACAAATACAATTATACAAGTAACTGTTAAAACAAGATATCACAACAAGGTAAAACGTTGATCAGTTAAATGAACATATACATATTTAAGTTTGAATGCTGAGTTGTAGGGTCTCTTATTCGTAACAATTCTATTCACAGATTTTAATCTATTCATGTATGTCGTGATCCCCTCCCTTTACATTTATATATATCAAGGCATATCAAAGTTAAATGGCCAGTGAGTATGATTAAGGAAGGAATATTTAGCAAAATGTACAATAATGTTTATAACTATTGTTTTATTAAGGTATATTTACCTAAAACTAAGAATCTAATTAATTGGGGATACCTAGAGTCATCCAGATTTAGTAGCATTACATACTGTCCTCTGTCCTTACCATACCGTATATAATGCTAAACTCTTGAGCAGAGATCTGATTATGCATGCGTTGTGACACATGAGCCGTAAACTGTAAATACTCGGATGTGTTGTGGGTTGTAAACATCTGTCAGTGTTCACTGGACCTCCTCATACTGCATATATGTCTCTCCCCAACACACACACACAAAGCACACCCACTGATTTTGTGTATTGGTGCTGCACAGCTATCCATCTCATGATGAATCGTCATAATCACCCATAAATGGTGTGTGTTTGTGTGTGCGCTTGTGTGTGTTTGTGTGTGCGTCTTACAAATGTTTTTATGATCCTCCTTTTAAATTCAGTATTGCAAACTAATTAAATATGTGCTCTTGTTCTAAAAATGCCGCATTTAAAGATGTTGAAACTACAGGCAAGTTCAAAGCTTTTCAAATAATATGCATTAGCAGATTCTTTACAGTATATATGCATTTTCTACACTGGCGAATATTTTCTTACAGAAACACTTTAGACCAAACCTGTTGAAGAACACAACTCACACACTGTGTGTGGCATTAAAGCACAGTGACACATGATTTACAGCAATCTCACCTTGGCCTACATTTGACATTTTAGTCTGCTACAAAGCAAGCTGTGGGTCACTTTGATGTTGAGGTTATGAATACAATTATTCTGTTTCTGTGAAATTGTGCTGCCAGCTTTGAGGGAAACTTCTGCATTAAACAGAATAAGTACACATGGTCTTTGACAGTTCAGTCTCCTTTTGTAAACACGATAACATCTCTGCCTGTGGTCTGAGTCTTTGCACTCTTTGCACATTTGTCCTCCTACACCAACTGGAAGCCTACCTGTTTGATCTCAATGTAACAATTTAGAATATGGTATCTGTTTCCGCATAGATATATGCTATGGTTCTGATTCTGCAAACAGCACCAGTGTTAAGCATCAGGATTTTAAGGCCACGTCCACATGGAGACGATTTCAGTTGTATCTGCTAAAGTTCTTTATCGTATAGATGGTTCATTCACACGAAGAAGAAACGGGAGCCGCAGTTTCGGAGCCCGAAACCGATACACTTTGAAACCGGCTCCCAAAGTGGGTAAGTCTGGAGACGAAACGCTTGCGGCTCCGTGTGTACGCCCTATACGATCTTTTCCTGAATCGATGACGCCATAGACCCACCTCTCCCCACTTCCTGCTCACCCCCACGTCATTGCTGATGCGTTTTGCCAACAACAACAATGGCGGATCACAGGGTTGCGTTCGTGCCCCAGACGCTACTAACCATGATACAGATTTTAGTGAATATCCGCCATCTCCTACCTTGTTTGTTTGTTTATGCCCATGCTCGGGGGATCTTATTCGCTGCTTTTGGTGTATTTTGTGGCAAGGCAAGTTTATTTATATAGCACTTTTCAACACAAGGCAATTCAAAGTGCTTTACAAAAAATGAAAGACATTAAGAAAATGGCATCATTAAAAAGAAAAGCTAATAAAATAAACATTAAAAGAAAAAATACATGTATAAAAGTTACAGTGCAGTAATAGTTCAATTAAAAGCAGCAACAAAAAGAAAAGTCTTCAGCCTGGATTTAAAAGTAGTAAGAGTTGCAGAGGACCTGCAGGTGGCGGAAGTACAGCGCCACTTACAGGCCCGGCATATGTACTACAGCGTCTCCAGCAGTTTCGAGCGGTTTCGTTTGGACGGACACATTTCTTGAGCCGATTCCGTGTGGACGCAATACTTTTGAAATCGACTTTGGTTCGAAATCGGTTTTGTTTCCGTGTGGACGGGGCCTAAGGGTCCATGTACAGCTTTATTCAAACAATAACAAAGTGGTGCCGAGGTTTGAAACTGAATTCCATGGTCAAAAACGCACACAACTAGCTAAGACAACAACACCACCATGTCAGTAATGTATTCTACTGGTGTTTTGTCACGACAGTTGGCTTTTGTCTCAGATTTAAAATAGCACTGTATGAACTGTTTCCACGCAAGTTTTCTGGAGATGTAAAGTTCCAATCAACTCCCAATTTATTAGAGGTTTCTTATATTTTCTTAATCCAAAAATACATTATATAACAATAACATTTATATTAAATACCAAAAAACTGAATTCAATATTTCTGTTGTTGTTCATTCTCTGTATCTAAAACACTGAATGTAACGTGAAACTGCTCTATCCAGTTTATTTACAGATGTAATAAATTATCCACATGTTACTTTAATGCGAATGACCCAAGTGATATGAGCGACTTATCCGAATTACTTTTAAATCACCCCAAATTCATAGCTCGTTAACCATCACACAAAGTATCGTTACATTCCTCATTATTTCACATATCAACCTGTCCACCTGACTCTTGCCCCCACATGCCTGAGTGTGTCTCTGTCTCGTTCAGGAGGCCCTCATCATGGCAAGCATGGAGCACCCCCACCTGGTCCGCCTGCTGGGCGTCTGCCTGAGTCCCACCATCCAGCTGGTCACACAACTGATGCCTCATGGGTGCCTGCTCGACTACGTCCATGAGCACAAGGACAACATCGGATCACAGCTGCTGCTCAATTGGTGTGTCCAGATTGCCAAGGTAAGGATGGAGGAGGTTGCTTTTTTTCAGGTGTTTTACTTGCTGTACAGATGATTGGTTTGGCGATTGGCTGGTTGCTTGGCTTGGTTTTTGGTTATAATAATAATAATAATAATGGGTTTCATTTATAAAGCACTTCATATTTGATTTCAAATCCTGAAGTGCTACAAGCAGTGAGCATGAACAGTATAAATAAACATTACACAGCACGGTAGAATTAATAAAAAGCAATAAAAAACAAACAATAGAAATGAAAATAAAATAAAAGGGTGGGAAAAAGGTCTAGGCAAAGGCTCTACTGAAAAGATGGATTTTGAGGCCTTTTTTAAAAGCCTAAGCGGTCGGTGGTGCTCTCATGTGGTCAGGGAGAGCATTCCACAGACTGGGAGCAGCCGAGCAGAAGGCCCGGTCTCCCATAGTACGGAGCTTAGTCCTGGGGGGTTTGAGGGAGTTGCAGGAGCGGGTGGTCCGCAAGGAGGTATGGGGGATGAGGAGTTTCTTGAGGTAGGGAGGGGCAGTTCCATGGACACACTGGTGGGTGAGGACGGAGATCTTGAATTCGATCCTCAGTTCCACGGGGAGCCAGTGTAGTGCTTTAAGGATGGGGGTGATGTGTTCATATTTGCACACCCTCATCAGGATCCTAGCAGCGCTGTTCTGAATGTATTGGAGCTTCTGGATGCTTTTGTTAGGGATCCCGATGAGGAGTGCATTGCAGTAGTCCAGCCTGGAGGAGACAAAGGCGTGGACCAGCTTTTCGGCGTCAGAGAAAGTGAGTGTGGGGCGGAGTTTGGCGATGTTCCTGAGGTGGTAAAAGGAGTTCTTGCACAGCTGTTTAATGTGGGCCTCAAAGGTCAGATGGGCATCCATTTTCACACCCAGGTTGGTGACTATTGAGGAGAGGGTAATGTCTTGGCCGGAGAAGGTGATGGTGGTGATGGTGGATGACCGAACCTGGTGTGGGGTGCCAACTATAATGGCTTCGGTCTTGGAGCTGTTGAGTTTCAGGAAGTTCTGCTTCATCCACGCCTGTATCTCCTCCAGGCAGGCAGTGAGTGTGGGTGAAGGCAGGGCTGCAGAGGAGGCAGGGTCGATCCTGAGGTACAGTTGGGTGTCATCAGCGTAACAATGGAATGATACTCCATGTCGGCTGATGATAGAGGCAAGGGGGAGCATGTAGAGTGTGAAAAGGGTGGGGCCGAGAACTGATCCTTGAGGGACACCACAGGTGACGTTGTGGGTACCCGACTCTGCCTCACCCAAGGAGACGTACTCTGTTCTCCCGGTGAGGTATGATCTGAACCAATCAAGGGGAAAGTCAGAGAGTCCGATGATGGAGTGCAGACGATGAAGGAGGATGCCGTAATCGACTGTGTCGAAAGCTGAAGTGAGATCGAGGAGGATGAGGAGAGAGGGAGAGCCAGCATCAGCCGAAGTCAGCAGGTCGTTGTTGACCCTGACCAGGGCAGTTTCTGTGCTGTGGCCTGAGCGGAAACCAGACTGAAACTTCTCAAATACAGTTGCAAGAAAAAGTATGTGAACCCTTTGGATTCTCCACACATAGCGTTGTGTGTTCCTTCCAAACAACTCAACTTTGGTTTCATCTGTCCACAGAATATTTTGCCAGTAGTGCTGTGGAACATCCAGGTGCTCTTTTGCAAACTTCAAACGTGCAGCAATGTTTTTTCTGGACAGCAGTGGCTTCCTCCGTGGTGTCCTCCCATGAACTCCATTCTTGTTCAGTGTTTTACGTATCGTAGATTCGTCAACAGAGATGTTAGCATGTGCCAGAGATTTCTTTAAGTCTGTAGCTGACACTCTAGGATTCTTCTTCACCTCATTGAGCATTCTGCGCTGTGCTCTTGCAGTCATCTTTACAGGACGGCCACTCCTAGGGAGAGTACTAGCAACAGTGCTGAACTTTCTCCATTTATAGACAATTTGTCTTACCACGGTTAGACAAATTGTCTATAAATGGAGAAAGTTGATGAACATCAAGGCTTTTAGAGATACTTTTGTAACCCTTTCCAGCTTTATGCAAGTCAACAATTCTTAATCGTAGGTCTTCTGAGAGCTCTTTTGTGCGAGGCATGGTTCACATCTGGCAATGCTTCTTAAGAATAGCAAATTCAAAACTGGTGTGTATTTTTTATAGGGCAGGGCAGCTTTAACCAACACCTCCAATCTCGTCTCATTGATTGGACTCCAGGTTGGCTGACTCCTGACTCCAATTAGCTCTTGAAGAAGTCTTTAGCCTAGGGGTTCACATACTTTTTCCACCCTGCACTGTGCATTTTTACATGGTGTGTTCAATAAAAACATGAAAACATATAATTGTTTGTGTGGTATTAGTTTAAGCAGACTGTGTTTGTCTATTGTTGTGACTTAGATGAAGATCAGAACACATTTTATGACCAACTTATGCAGAAATCCAGGTAATTCCAAAGGGTTCACATACTTTTTCTTGCAACTGTAGGTTGTTGGAGTTTAGGTGGTCCTGGAGCTGAGCAGCAACTAGTTTTTCCAGCACCTTTGATAGAAAAGGAAGGTTGGAAATGGGTCTGTAGTTGGCCAGGACTCCCGGGTCAAGGGAGGGTTTTTTGAGACGAGGTTTGATGACAGCGGTTTATAGGGCAGAGGGGACATGGCCAGCCTGGAGAGAGAGGTTTACGATCTTAGTGATCATGGGGCTCATGGTACAGATGTACGATTTCGCAAGAGCTGACGGAAGGGGGTCCAGGACACAGGTGGAGGGCTTCATCCTCCACCTGTCTGGTCGATTGGGAGATAAGTAAGGATTTGTTTTATGCATTGAGAGTTAATTGTGTTACCTGAACAGTTTCTTTAAAATAAATAGTCTCCATCTACTGTTGCCTTTTTTGCTGCCTGAGCTGCTACATCAAATTGTCTAAATCAATAAGTGGTAATTTGGAGAGTTGAACCTTTACTACATCGTAACTGTGGACTCACCACTTTATCTTTCAGAATTAGGTTGTAACACTTTGCTGGTATTTGTCAAATGTTATCAATAACTTTGACTGTTATTCCATGACCTTTTGGATAGATCCACCTACTGTGATTGGTATGTTGCTTTAATGTTCTTGTTTTGATCTGTTTGTCCTTTCTGATAGATAGTTACTGTTGAGAATGTTATTTTTCAATTCATCTTTTTTGCTGTTGTACGCTTATGATTATACTTAGTCTTTTTTCTCCCTCCCTTTTATTTGTGAGTTGTTGAAGGTTGCCATGCATCCTTGTCCTTTTTGAAACCTTATCCATAAGTGTTAGTGTTTGTTTGGAAAACATGTAATAAAAGGACACAAGTGTGATTCAATAGCTGTGTGTGAACATATCTAGTCTTAAAGAGACCAAGTGAATTACTTTCTTGCTTCCAGAGTGAAAAGTACATTACTTATGATATGTGGTGAAGTGTCTGTGAGTGTGTTGGAAAGAATTCAACAGCCAACAGTGGCGCCCCTTACCAGCCTCTCTGGAGGAGTGAAGTAAATCATTCAAAGCCTTTCTTGACTTTGTTGAGGGAAGTATTGAGCAGAGGGGGCTCAGTGTTACAAGATCATGGATGCAGGTTTGCATTATAATGTGTTCTTGTATTTGTCAATAGGTTATACACTTGTTAATGACCTCACTTCCACTGTCACACAAATCACCACAGAATGTAATCACAACCGTTAAAACACCTGTGCAATATAAATAAACACATTTTGTATTCATGTTTTTATTAACTATCAAAGTTATTCATTGCAGGTGAATTCAATAGTAGGAATATTCCGTATATTTACTACTATATAACTATATTTCCAAACAGAGTGGCTGATGAAATGATCTTAAACTGAGTACAAACTAATTGGATAAAAAGACAAAAGAAGCATATTGAAAATGACTAAGCAGTCGCTGCAGTCCTAGATTTAATAACTTAGACAAATGTTTCTGTTGCCATTTTAGGTTCAATCAGAGGGAGGCAGTTCTCCAATGAGCTTCCATGGGAATGTAATTAAATATCAATTAAATCGTTACAACGTTATGATCACACTGCATATAGTGCTTGTTTTGTACCAAAAAAGCACAGCATGCATTGAATCTTGCCTCGCTATCAAACTTTGCATGCTGTTCAACACAAATATTTTCATTGTATGGAATCTATCACACAAATTACTTTGTGGAAAAAGGGTGTAGATCGATTACATAAATAAATACAAGCCCGCTGTGAACAGTTGTGAACATAGAGAGATGTATAATTCATTAAGGGTAGAAATTATGATGTATTATTTACCGCTGTTATTCCGTGTCTCAAGCGTGTATTGTTTAGTGTTTTCAATTATTGGCTCAACTCCTGGGGGCTCAAATAGCCATCAGGGGCCACGGTTAATAAGGTGCCCACTAGGGTTCATGCTCACGCATACACAATGTGTCCAATTCACACAATGCATTTATGTAAATAATTCCAAAATGGAGAATCGGGACACTCAGCCTAACTCCATCAGCATCCCCATGTGTTCCCTGAGTATTATTCCATTATCTTCATCATAGATGCATACATCCACTCACGCAGGGTCTTACAGCGCTCTCAAGGCTCTTGCAAGTGACAGGGTTCCACTCTCTGAGGCAACATCCCTGTGGCCCCTCCGCTCTGTCATGGCCGCCATCGCAGCCATAGATTATTAATGGGGTGATCTGCCATGAGACTCATACTAATGAGCAGATTCATTAGAGCTATACGCACGCAGGGCTCTGATGCCACACAATGTTTTTCTTTCCTTGGGTCTGACTTTTTTCCCTGTTTTTCTCTTTTTATTCCTCTCCACTATTACCTACTCTATCATTTTCTACTCATTATGTCTGCTTGCTTTTTAAACCTCCTCCTCGTTCACAAACTCTCTGGTCCTCTTGTTCCTGTATATAATGTAAAGTGGTACTAGAGTGTTTATGATGTACTAAAAATGATATATTTTATAATGATTTCACTGCAATACCGTGGTGTTGTTGAGTTTATCTAG